TTCATGGGTCGCGTCAATGCTTATCCCCTCATTTCCAGAACTCACTTGGTACTCCAAGTCCTTGTCAGAAAGAAAAGGAATCTCTGCATTATGCTGGACCTAGTGGGATGCCTGTTTCAAAATCAACTAATGGGTCGTATTCGAAAGGTTTTCTTATCTTTGATCAATCTGGGAATCAGAAGAGATTGATGTATGCTCCTATGTGTCCTCCTCTCTATTTTCCCTCAACAGTTGCTGAAAACCATGGTCCTGGTTTGCTAGAAGAATGGATAGCTGGAGGCATTGATTCTGTGAAGTATTTTCCAAATATGCTGTCCAATGAGAATTACATAGCTGGTGAAGAGAGTGAAATGCATGAAAACACAGAAGAAATAGATGCCTTGCTTTACTCAGACGATGATGGTACTGGTTATAGTAGTGATGATGAAGTGACTAGCACAGGACATTCTCCAGAGATGATCAATAAGCATTATGAGAAGGAAGAACAATGTCAAGAAACTACTACAGAAGTTGCTAGTTCTGATGGGCCAAGAAAAAGGCAGAGAGTGCATGATGGAGGGTCCATAAAATCACTGCCAATTGCTACTGTTGCTGGTGAAAGAGTTGAACTACAGAAGTTTGCCAGTGATGCAGAATCAAGCTGTGGCATGGTCCATGAGGAAGAAGCTGGAACAGATGTTGATTTCTGCACTTCTTGCAAAAAAGACAGGATCAAGGAGACGTTGAGAGTGCTTGAGAGATTAGTTCCTGGTGCAAAGGGCAAGGACCCATTGTTGGTCATCGATGAAGCTATAGAATACTTGAAGTCCTTAAAACACGAAGCTAGCACGCTAGGTGTGAGCTGTTATTAGATTGCATCCCCCTTATTTTGTTTCAGATGTTGGTGGATTGGTAAAACCAGGAGGTCATGGCACGGTAACTCAAGAATCCTTATTTTGAATTTTGATGGATCCAAGATCAGTTCACTAGTGCGAGTCCTCATCTCTCACAAGAACAGTGTTGATGGGTTAACTAGCAAATGGTGGTGTACTTTGGGATAACATTGAACCTAGGCGGCAATGGGTGAATAATTGCCATTTTCATCTGTTGACTAGGCATGATTATGTTTGATGCTTTTAAGAGACTAAAGGGGAAAGTCACAAAGATTTGGAACGCATGAGATGTGATAGTGGTGGGTTATGCTGAGGAACTAAAAGGAGACCCCTGTTTTCCAGCAATTGGCGAATCTCCAAGGATTTAGTGCATGCGCGTTAGGTAACTCGGGTCCCACCTTCCACATCTTTATTTCTGGATTACGTGCTGTGTCCCTTTCCCTAGTAACCCATTCGCAGAGGTTTTTTTCCTTTCTTTCTTCCTTTTTGTGGTGGCTTCCCTTTATTCTTAATAATGTTGTAAAAGTGGTGCTTGTCCCTTCTGGTATTAGGTAGACGTTGCACGGTGAAACTTTTGTGGGGGGTTTTGATTATGAGATCTGTGAAACTTTTGACTGCTCTGCGGTGGGATAGGATATCTATTTCAACTTTTGGTACTGCTTTTGTATTTGATGTAATAATTGGGGTGTGAATGCTTTTGTGATTCTCATTATGTACTGTTTTCTCTATGCTTGTACTTGACCTTCTTCTTGAGACTCATGTTCCTATATAAGTTTTCAGTGGGCTTATCTTCTCAGCTGTACAATTCTATTGATGATGCTGCACTTCAAAAATGTGATATTCTCTCTTAGTTTGGATCTTTATTTGTTGGGCCTTGGCTCTCCAATCATGAGTCTATGGTTTGGATCTTAGTTTCTTGGGCCGTGGCCCAATTCCTTTTGCACCTATTATTATAGGTAACCTTGATAAGTAGGCCTATCAGTTAACCAAGTGGAAGTTTGACAAATTTGATATGATATGATTCAGATTTATTTTCAAATATATCTAAACGCAGAGCCTTAATGTATCAGGAAAACTTCAATTGCTTAAAAACTGGTCTCTTTCTAAGGGAAATTTGCTTTTATTTTCACCAATTGCAGGAATCACATGACCAGCCTCTTGACTCCTCACTACTAAAATTGATTTGAAAGAATGGCAGAGAACTCACCAAAAGTGAGAAGAAATTATTACAAATTTGGGAAACGGATGATTTATATAAGCCTATCCCAACCAGCACAAAGTGAGTGATTGCTATGGAAAAAGGAAAAAAAGGAAAAAGAAAAGGGGAAACTATTCTGTTGTTCTCTTGACCAGTGGAAATCAAAATGAAAGAGAAAAAAAAATGGAAGCCAGAATCCAAATGAAGAATGAAAGTGATGATGCTGATCTTCTCAAGATATTGAATTTCTCCATCTTCTGTGTACTTTTTTAGTCTGTTCTCCAATGTTTGGATGGTGGGAATCATTTTCTGGGGTTTCCAAAGTTGACATCTTAGTGAGTTTGCTTAGTTTTTTCCACCCACTGCTCCAAGCAGAGGTCTGCTTCTGCTTGGAAACCTTCTCAAACTGCCTCTGTAAGCTCTCCATTTCAGTTTGAAGCTCAAGATACTTTGTCTTCACACTCTCCAGCTCAAATTTCAGTGTGTTAATGTCCTTCTTGGCAGTTGCCCACCCTTCTTGGAATGACTGTGGTGTGGCTTCCAGCAGTGTTTTTCTGTTTGTTACGAGCGGTTGGAACTGCGAATCGCTGGCTTCTTTCAGAGACGAGTTGGCGATCGTATTGCTTATCTTTACTTGCTCGGAGAAGAGCACTTGAACCACCACTCGTAATGGGAGCCTTTCGTTTTGTGCGGCGTGCATACAGGCATCAATGGAGAGCTTCTGGCAGTCCATCACTCGGCATAGCCGCTTCCTCTCATGCTCAGTGAGCGTAGGGTGCGCCTGTCATAATCAGTTCACTTGGTAAACACTTCATGATAAAATTTAGAAACTCTTTTATCCCTCTCTTAGGTTTTAACAAACATGTTCACGTAATTAAGTCAGTAGTTCATACCTTAAGATAGGAATCAATAGCTCGGTAAAGCCCGTCATCGCATGTTCGAGCAGATTCTGGCAGAGCTTCAGCCAGTACTTGAAATTTTGTCAAGGAAAGGTTTCTATCTCTGGCCACCTCTGTTAGATAACTATCAACAAGCCTTGCCACCCTCATCTTTGCATTTGGGACACCAGCCCCTCTTTGAGATCCTTCGTACATATGTTTATCGGAGAACGATTGTCGGCTTGGACTCGAAATATTGGTCTGCTCCTGAACAAGGAAATGCTCCAAAAGCCTCTGGACAAGATCAACATCATACATTGTCTCACTTTTGCTGTAGGATGGGATCAAAAGATCCACAAGTGTGGCTTGCTCAAACTGCATTCCAACCCTTTTCTCCAACTCAGTGACCAATGCTGGTGCAACTTTCAACATGTTTGCCATTCTCAGCAACTTTAGGAGGAAGCTACACGAGACGCAGTCTTTCTGTGGAGGAATGATGCTGATCAAACTCTCGACGATCATCCGTTGATCTTTCGCCTGAAGCATCGAGTGATCTTCCTTGTTGCCAGCCACAATCATATGGAGGCCACCTTTCCAACTGTTGCTGCCACTGCTTGTGTTACTAGTGGTGCTGGTACTTCCTTCATCACCTGCGATCGCTCCATCGGTTACCAAACCTGGAAGCCATTTCGACGAGTAATGCATTATCGACGATCCAATCAGTTCAAATCTCATACCCTTTACTTTGATTGCTGTGATTACTCTAACAAAGTGATCAATCCTGAGGATTGAGACATCCTCAAACCACCAATCAGGAGGAACATGCTGATTCCTGCTGGGGCTTGAATCCTTAATATCATTCCATTTGGGACTAGAAACTTTGGGGGGTTTGCCAGTGTATGCCCATCTAATTCCTTTCGGATTGGCACAAGCCTTCCAAGCAATCGACTCGCTGCACCTGCGGACGATCTGTAGGTTCTCAGCCCACGGCGAGAGCTTCTCGCAGCTTTTCAACACGACGATCGAGTCCCTCCACGACGACAGTACCACATAGCTGAGAAACGCTTCGGTTTTGAATATCAAATTGCCTTCTTCCAAATCTTCTGTCATTTCAAGATATTCTGCAGCACATCTGAGGCCAGAGATATTGGCTGCTGTTAAATCAACAGCTATCCCGTAACAGAATTTGGCTGCAAGTTCAAAAGCCTCAGCCCCACCAGGAAGGTCATCCAAAACAACCTTATTCAAATCTGGGTCTCTTGATTCATATATGCATCTGTTCATCTTCCCACTTCTAGAAAGAAGAGGATACTTCACACACCCAAACAAACACCAAAAAACAAAAAACCCCAATTAGAGAAACTCTGCTCAAAGCCATGAAAAAACTCTCAAACCAGAGAGATTATACATATATATATACCTTATGCAAATGGAAATTCACATCTTCAACTTGAACTAAGAGGTCACTTGGGATATCAGTTGCAACATACCTACACAGCAGAGGGCACAATAATCAGACCCAAAATTTCCCAGAAAGAACAAAATTAGAAACAAAAGTTTGTGGAAAACGTACCAGGACTTGCCTCTGAGCTCGAAGCCATCTGTCTTAAGAGCGTGTTGGGCGGAAGGGGGGAGGCCATTGCCGTAGTCTCTGCCACCAACAGACTCATTTTCAGATTCCCACATGATGGAAGGAAGACAAAGGGCCGAGAGATTAGGGGTGGGGTGTTTGTTTCTCGGGAAAGTGACAGAGAAAGAGGAGGGGAAATGGGGAGGAAAATTTGAAGAAGAAGAAGAAGAAGAGAGAAATGGAAGAAAGGCACATGGGGTGATTGGAATTATCTTGTTGAATTGTCGGCTTCTTCACTGATTTTTCAGTGGATGAAGTGAATTTTCACAGGCTGTGAAGTAATGGGCTCATGGGTAGGTGATGGATCATTCTGATTGCATCCTCTTTGCTCTGATTTTGCATTAATAATGTGCTTTCTTTCTCTCTCTCTTTTTCTTTCTTCTCCAAATGAAGTGGACAGGGCAGAAGACAAGAGGAGAGCTTGTGTTCTTGTTCTTTGAGAGATTGTTTTCAATTTTCATTTCACCATGGCTTCTCTATGCATGTATTATACCCTTCTGTTTTGAAGGTTTTTTTTTTATTTAACCCGATCGATGTCGCGTGGCTTTGCCTCAATACTGAGGCCGACTTGTCTCCCGAGAGGGAGGTCCTAGCTATGCACCCTGCGGGTTTTGAACCGAGGACGGCGTATCCCCATTTGGCCACAACCTACTACGCCACCCCTGCAAGGACCCAACTTAATTTCTCTTTATTAACTTAAATGAGTTTAAGATTAAGCCTGATAATGATTTTGTTTTTTTCCCTCTTATTGAAAGTTAAGCTTACCATCACTATTTCTATTTTGTATTTCTTTCATCTTTTTATCAACTTTTTAAAAAGATTTTTTAAAGTCTAAGGCCAGAATTTGAAAATCAAAAGAAATAGTTTTCAAATACTTGATTCTTAAAATGTGAAAAACATACCTAAGACATGGCGAGAAAGTAAATATTTTAAAAAAATAAAAATTAAAAACAAAAATCACTTGAATTGAAATAACAAAAATCATATAAAGTATTAAATCAAAATTAGGCCATTGTAGGCTTCGTTTTTCAATTATGTGAAAGTAAAACCAATAAATGGTAGTATTAGAGGTAAGATATAGTTTTAAATTCTATTTTATTTTTCTTTATTATTACGTTTTGTTTTTAAAGATACAAATATTCTACTTTAGTCTTTTGAATTTTCAGTAAAATAAAAAAATAAAAAACTATTTTAGTCATTATAAATTATCTTTCATAATCATTCGATAAAAATTCTGACTTGTCTTTTTTTCCTTTTGATACTTATGAGTGTCCGAATTAGCTTACGCGCACCTCGATTAATCTTACGAGGCATCCACTTAAATCTACAACATTTAGTACCAGAAAATACATAAGAATTAATTCTCTATGGGTGGTTCGGTTGATCGAATTTTTCTAGTCATTGAGTTTTTAGAAAACTCGAGAGAGTAGTTGACTACACTTTTGAAGCAATAACTATGAGGGACAATTTATAAACTTTTGTACTGAGCTTCTCATTATTAGATGGTACAAAATGCACATGCATATGGATTTTATCATGTTTGGTGAATGGGTCCCTTTAGTATTTAATACTCTCAAAATTCCAAAATTTTATTCTTTTTCTTAAATACACACACATATATTTATTTTAAAGTGTCATTAATAGGTTAAATTCCAAGTAACTTTGATTTTAAGATTAAAAAAAATCTTTTTTTCTTTGCCAAGTCATTGATTTCTATATAAATAAATATATTTTTAATACAACAAATATTGGAGCATGGTAATTTAAATTTCAAATGTAAAAAAAGGAGTAGAGTATGTAGGTGTCTATACCATTTGAATCTCTGATCTTTTAGTCGAGAAGATTGACACCCATGATCTAATATTTATTTCAATCATCGAACATGTAAATTAACGATAAACTAAAAATGTATTGGTCAAACGTAAACATGAACGCTTCTATACAGTTAAAACTTATATATTTCAAATATTTTAGAAAAAGAAAGGCCCCAACACCTCAAACTGTGTCCCATCTTTTCAATCCCCTCTTTTTCACAACCTGAATGAATGCAATTGATTTTACTTTTCATATTTTTCAAAAGGCTGTTTTCTTTTTCACTGAATTTTTGTTGGCCAAAAGAAAAGGGTGATTTTCCTGTTTGGAGATTATTATCATGTCTCATGTCCCTTTTTGCTTATGAACCAACCAACCCATAATTTCATTTATTATTTTATGAGTCAATTTTATTAATAAATATATAATAAGATAGGTCTTCAAATTGATGATAATGATGGAAGTTGTGTTATTCCTTTAGCAAAGCACATCACTTTGATGAAAGGAAGAAAACTGTATACATCATGTGGAGTGGGACTCCTCTTTTTTTTTTTGTTTCTCCCTTAAATTATTGGCATATGGATTTTCTAAAATGAATGATGATGTCTTTTTATTTAAATCTTGAAAACAACATGTTCCGTTGGATTAGATATTTTGTACCTTCGTCACTTTTCTTGTTTCCTAATTCATTTATATATCGAGGACGATGATCTTCGTAATATGAGACGATATCTAGGTATAAATGATAATGATCTGGATATATATCACCCAATTATATATCGTGACATTTTTTATATGTCAATTTTTGTGTTGCATGTCCTTTTTTGGTATTGATCGTGTTGAAGATCTAGACCTACCTCCTTGGCGTTGAAAGTTACTATTGTTGCTATATTTTGAATTTTCAAGAAGGATAAAAGATCATTTGAAAAACATTTTGATAACAAAATTATAAAATAAGTGTAAATAAAATAGATTAATTTCACATTTATAACATTTTGCAATTGAAATTCACATTTTCACGACAACGAGGATATAAATTGTTAGAAGTTCAATATAATATATTGAAAAATATTTTGAAATTTATCTATGATAGTTTTTTTCCCTATATATTAACGAATAAGAAAATTAAAAAAGTAAAATAGTTATATTCATATTAGACCATGACATTCTATCCGAGGATGAACTATAATATTCATCTCATTTTGAAAAAATAATGCTACAATGACATTCTTTCGGTATCTTCTAAGATATTTTATATTACGTTTTTTTTCTCTTTGATTTAGAAAAAAAAATGACAAAAAATAAAACCCATATATATATTTTTGTGAAAATTGAAAATTGAAAATTAATTTGATTTAATAATTGTGTTTGGCCCAACAGCGATGTGAATAAGGAAGGAGGGACCCTTGATAGATGGCTTTAGTGGATGAGAATGTGATTCCCATTCCTCCCCACATTCTTCCTTCTCTTTGTGTTTTTTTTTTTCAACTCACTAATTTTTATTCTTTTTCTTTTTAATTTTTATTTTTATTCTAGTGTGATATTTGATTTAAATTGGATTCTTTACTCGAATTTTTTCTTTTTTCTTTTTTTTTTTTCCTTTTTGGTTTGTTTTGTTTTATGCTTCTTTTAGAACAACAATCTTCAAATCTTAGCTTAATATGATTTTCAAGTTAAATACATTGTTTAGCATTTTATTTTTAATTTAGTTTCATCGAAAATTTCGATTAAAGCTTAACTCATTGAAATTGAATAAATAAATGTTAATGTGACATTTAATAATATAATTTTTGTGTGATGGTATCTTTACCTACTTGATTAAAAAATCTAATTAGGAAGGGCAAATATTTGACATCATGGACTTGATTGAAAATGTTTGATTCTCTAAAAATAAGGATTCAAACTATATAATAAAAAAAAAGTATATAATTTCAAATACCAAGTTGTATAAAAAGAAATACTTTTAATCACTGTGATTAATATTCCCCTCCCCATTTGCCTAATGAATGAATGTCTACCCACGAACAATTCTTTGAAATCACACCTAACAGATTAGGTGTGTCAATTGATTTCGAAACAATATTACATTCATGTTAAATAATTAAAATAATTTTCCTACGAAAAGAACTGCATATGAGAGTACGAAAACAACACATCTGAAAGTCAAAGTCAAATAATGAAGACTACTCTACAACATAAGACATTAAAAAATAGATCATCTTCCAACTAATCAACTCTACCTTGTGTATAGAACTCTTTTCATGATGAATGAAAGACACATGTGATCGTAAATTTCTCGAAGTGGAAGATAAAAAATAATTTATTAAGAGAGAGAGAATAATGAAGGATACAATATGAGGATGAAGGAAATCTCCATTTTCCCACATTGCTTGTCTCCCTTGTTGTTGGGCTAAATTTGGCTTGACATCACATATATCATTCATCATCTCAATTAATTACTTACCTTCCCTAAACAAACATATAAGTTATTATATGTTCTATTTTCAAATGATAGAGTACGAATTGTCTCTCAACTCTTATGATTTGTGAGAAAATATATTTAACTCTTTACTCTGATTTTTTGTTTCTAAAAAATTATGTTTTGTTTTGATGTTTTACTTTTGAAATTTGTCTAGAACTATATATAATATTGAAAAATGTGAAAAGAAAAGCAATTGATTAGTTAAAGGTGTGATATTATTATTTGTGATGATACAAAAATCCACGTAATAGAAAAAATCAATTTTATTGGTACATCAATTTGTAGGAGATTAAAATCTACAATCTTTTAATTAGAGAAATATGTCTTAACTATATGCTCGATAAATTACTTTAATATTGATTTATTTAAAGATATTATTTGATATATTAAAGGACAGACTCAATAATTACTATGTTCGTAAAACAGTAAAAAATAAATAAATAAAATTTTAAAAGTTGGTTACCATTAATTTGTTGTTCGTATATGCTTACTTTTTCCTTTTATATTTCTTTCTTGAGACATATAAAATGCATCAATATATATCTAAATTATTACACATCTCTAAGATTACTTCCTCACCCTTTAACAACAACAAATTTAATTTTTTTTCTTTAAAATCATTTGTGCTGCTTGAATTTATCTCTTATATGCCATGTTGGTTAACTACTAAACTACCCCATATATTTCTAACCCAGATAGAGTAAAATAGTGCAACATTTGAGCATTTTAAATTATTATTCACAAAAACAAAAAATAGAAATTAATTTTGYCATATGAATGTTTGATGGTTCAACAAAAGTTTTAAATATCGGAAGTCTCAATTTTACATGATAGTTGATTAAAAGATATTGATAAAATAAATATTTTTAGAAAAATTATTAATATTAATATTAATATTATTTACACGTTCTTTTTATACAATACTAGATTTTGTGAACCAAAYAGAGGCACGTTACTTTTCTTTTAAAAAGATAAAGATGATGTATGAGGGATGAGAATTGTTGCCATCATTGAACAGAAGTTCTTATAAAATTGAACTCGAGTGTGAATAAATACAACAATAATAACAATAATATATTTCTATAATAATTAAAGTGACATATTTTATTGGCAGATGTTTGTTTTATTAGCCCCACAATGGATATTCAGTATATTTGAATAGAACTTTGTGCTGGTTGAATACTAGACATTGAAAAAACAAACAAAAAAGAGACTCCAAAAGCAATCTTTGCTCTTTCATATAACATGCTACTATTAAAAAATAATTAAGAATATAAAAATGGAAAAATAACATTGTAATTTTCCTTTAGTAAAGTATTATTAGATCAGGTTTAGCCAGTGTAACATACTTTATTTTTCAAGATAGTTGAAAATATAGTAAAAATTAAAAAGAACACATTCTATGATTTATCGGGTACCATCATAAATAAGTCGTAGGCGTACGAGTTAGGATTTGGATAAGAAGATTACAAATTAGGTTTCTATTTACACAACACTATTATTTTAAGAGCTAGATGTATATACATAATTTTTTTTTATTTAATTACCATTTACTAGTTCCTATTTTCTGGCCTATTCTTGTTAAAGACAAAGATACCCAAGTCTCGAAGTATCTCTATAATAGTACTATATTGTCCGTTTTGGACATAATTTTCACGATTTTACTTTTAGCTTCACCCAAAAGGCCTAATTAATATAGTATTTTGATCGTATTACCCAACACTTTTAATGGGTTAGTACTTCTCGTACATTGATTAATTAGTTAGTCTTCAATTACCCTATTTATCTAATAAAAAACTAAAACGAAACATGTGCTATAGGTAGAAGTTCACTCGACACATATATCAACTACACGATAATAGTGTTGCATCCAGAATACCTGAAGATTAAACTTTAATACATTCGAAAAGTTTGAGATTATAATTATATTTAACCGAACGACAACGACATATAATATTTGAAATCCCAGAAGGGTTGGAATTCAGATCTTGGAAATGGCTAAAATTAAACCAAACGAACAAGATCCAACATGGATTTGTGTTGGAGATCGTTAGTCTGCACCAATTCCATATAGTCTTTGTATTTGATGTGTTTATACAAAGGAGGATTGGTGAGTTGATGAACCAATTCTGGGGCTGGACCAACCACTGTGTCAAGTGATGGCCCAATTGCTATGCCTACAGACATTCTTGTGGCCTTCTTGTTCACTATTGCTCTGTGCAGCAAACTCTTGTACTTCCCATTGCTAAAGATCTAACAACGTCAACGAATTTAGCTTCCATTACAACTCGAATAATTCAATCAACTCGGTTCGAGTTTTATAGAGATCCATAGAGTAAGAACCACACAACATCGAATCCGAAAAACCAAAAAAATAAAAATAAGGAAAATTACAGTTGGTAGCAAAAATCTTTTATATATTTTAAAATATGTCACATGTTTTTCAAAATTTTCAAATATAGTTCAAATTTTCACTTATATCAGTACTGTATCAGCATACTCATATCAAATGTATATCACATCTATATTGCAAGTATATTAAACACTTATCAGTCGTATATACTTACTTTTTCCTTTTTTATTTATAGATACACATAAAATGCATCAATATATATCTAAATTATTACACATCTCTGAGATTACTTCCTCACCCTTTTACAGCAACTAATTTAATTTTTTCTTTAAAATAATTTGTGTTGTTTGAATTTATCTCTTATATCCCATGTTGGTTAACTACTAAACTACCCCAAATACTTCTAAACTAGATAGAGTAAAATAGTAAAATATTTGAGCATTTTAAATTTTAAATTATATCAGTAGTATATGATCAGACAGTAACATATCAGTAGTATATCAAACACTCACATTAATAGTATATCAGATTTATATCACATATATATATATATATCAATATTATGATAAATTACAGATATATTCATTTGGATAAAGTTGACATTTTAAAAATAGACCTCGGTTTTTTTTTAAGTTGTTAATTTTACTAAATATTTTTGTCATATTTAACAATTGTTCCTAAAAATAAAGCATGTGGGTGCACGTCGTACCTCGAGTTGATCAGCGGTATTGACGAGGAAGGAGTTGGGAATGGGATTGACATTGACCCACTTTCCTTGATGCAAGATTTGGAGGCCACAAATTTTGTTTTGAAGAATAAAAGTTAGAAGGCAATGATCAGAATGAGGGGGTAACCCCATTGCTACCTCTGCCTGTGGACATGGTGGATACAAGTTTCCTACTAGAATTTGTGAACATGATTTCAAATTCACTGCTTTCTCCAAAGTGCACCCTTCCAATCCCAAGCTTTCTGAGATCCCTCTCGCCAATTCTCTCGCCAATTCTCGAACTCTTCTGCAGTATTCTTCAGAGATCTCTCTACCATAAAAAAGCAAACACGACGATAAAGTCGTCGATAAAAATAAGGAATTCGACTGATCTTGATGGTTAACCGTTCGAGAATCGTTTAAAAATGTTTAAGAGTGCAATTTGAATAAAGTTCTGCATCTGCTAAGGAAAATGCATAAACAAAATTTTAACTGTTGCTTAGCTAGATTATAACTAAAATTTTTTTTTGATAAGTGTCCATTATATTGTTGAGCGGAGCTAAACTTGTATCTGACTATAACTAAAAACCGGTACATGCCGGGAGGCAAGAGAAAGTGAGTAAGACCTGAATCTTGAAGGTTTAGTTGGAGCATGAAAGTTGGGATGAACCATGATTTTCAAATAATCTCTCCAAAAGAACACCTTCTCCATCTTAGGATTGAAGCTGGTGCCATATCTGATAGGGTCAAGAACATGTTTTGTTTCGTACTCTCTTTTTTCTTCCTCCTCTAGATCAAAAAACTCTCTGCAAATATCCACCATCTCCGTCATCACCGTCTCTGCTACTCCATGATTGATCACCTGCATTCTCAAAAACGACGCTTCGTTACATCACGAAGCGAAAAAGAAGGAAGAAGGAAGACAATTGTCCTCCTTAACTCGTCTCCAAAATAAATAAATAATAAGTTTTTTCTTATTTGTCCTCAAATTTTTAGAATTGAAAGGTTAGGTATATAACTAAATTTTGTTTTCATTCTGATTAGACAATTTTTTGCAGGTACCATGAAAAAGCCCCAGTCCTGGCAAGCCTTGCCGAGCTGATCGACGACTTCGGCTCGTTGATCGGGAGTACCCATGGTGAGAAGAGAGAAATCAACGGTGGGAATCGAATCTTCGACGCCTTGCGGAGCTGCATCGACAGCGCCACCGTCGGCGGAGAAGACGTAAGAGGAAGGAATGGAGGTTAAGTTGGGTGTTTGAGCTATGGTTTTGACACTGGCCATCGCTGGTGAAGCCATTGGGAGCTGTTTTTGGAGGAGAAAGTTTGGACACAAATTGGTTGCAAAATTATTGTGAAGTGTTTGGGGCATAAATTACCTGTTTTTATCAGCAAACAAGCTTCAGATTAAATCACCCACCACTGTTTTTGTTTTAGTAGTGGGGAAAAAAAAACTTCACCTAATTTGTGGTTAAATTCACAAAAAAAATATCCATTTACCTTGAATTTCTAAGTTGGTAGGATAGATTTATAGATTTTTTTTTGAAGGAAGGATAGATTTATAGATTAAACAACGTGGTTCACGTTCAACTAATTAGATTGGTGGGTTCTTCTCACCAAAAAAAAAAGAAAAAAAAAAGTGGAAGATTATCTATCTCAAATATTGAGTCACTGTCGAATTCGTTTGTATCATGTGCTAATTGATTTAGGTTTTATCATTCTACATGTGTGTTTCATTTCTAACAGTTCGGTGGACACAATTATGGAATTATTGCTTCTGTTCGTCATCTTATTTAAAATTTGGTCGACTTGCACAAACAACTATACACATATATTGGTGTTTATTTTATATGCTCTCAATTTTCTAGCTGGTAGTAACATCTTATTTGTGGAACTAGAATAAAACATCTTATTCGTGGGTTGAGAATTGCTTTAGGTTAAGAATATATTTTAAAAGTTAAAATTTATAACAATTTAGTCCCTGCTACGAAAATTCTCATCAAAATTAAGCATTAGTTTTTGTCATATAACGATTTAATTTTTTAATTTATAAATAAATTTGATCCTTCATCGGTTCATCAATCTACATATATAAGAAATATAACAAAAAAAAATCACAATAGGAACTAAATCGTTCCAAAACTTTAAATTTCAAGAACAAAATTGTTTCATGCTAAGTTCCGGAAATTAAATTGTTACCCATTTAAAAAAAATTACAGAGACTAAATCATTACTTTTAAAAATTTTGTTACAGAGATCAAAATAACCGAGATTAAATTTAGCACATGCAGAGATTTGGAGTCCGATATTTTGTAGTACGGGGACCATATGGGTCATGGGCGGTGGATATTTTCAAACTAAAAAGTCAACAAAACTTTGAGTGTAATAATTGGGCCATTGCGAAAATGATATTTCAAAATTGTATGAACCATTTAAATCTTAGCGTAGGTTTCAATCAAAATATCGTTATTTTTGATATTGTGTTTGAAGCAAATTTGAAAATGAGTCTCAATTTAAAAATTATTCAAGATATTGTAGTATATTTGTAAATTATTAATAATTACCCACTAAATATTTAGTTAAATCTTCTCTCCAAAAAAAACTATATATATTTAGTTAAATCTGAAACACAGGTATATAACTATTTTTATTTTATTTTATTTAATAATTAAATAACAATAATATTTAATAATAAGATAAGTAGTGAGTGTTTTTTTTTCTTTTTAATATAGGTACTTTGTACTTCTAGGATTAATCAAGTGGATGAAATTTCCAACTTACAAATTTCATTTTCATCTACTTTAAATTTTAAATTTAAGTCGTGAAAGGTTAATACTTTTGAATATATGTGAGGATTTATCTTTGAAGCGAAAGAACTTCGGAAGCTATATGTGTGAAACTCGTCACAAGAGTTTATGTACAAAGAACAAAAAAATTCTTCATAGATGGATCTACAATAAACCTAGGAATCTCCTGAAACACTTTGGATTATATAATCTACTAGAAATTAGTATATATATTTATAAAAAAAAAATTCTTCATGGATGGAATTAGCATATATATTTAGTATATATGCACAAAATTATAGCTTTATATTCACAGGATCTATGATTGGCGCAGTGGTGCAAGAGTCATAGCCCTTGAGCGGCGGACATTAGAATCCTTCATTACGAGTTTTTTTTATTGAAGTATTTTCTTTTTATTATATTTATAAATATGTATTATTAAAAATATTTATAGTTATTTTAAAAATATAAAAAAATTCTTTATAAAAAAAATGTCAATTCAAAAGAAAATAAATATATGTCCATTTTAAAAAGGAAAAAGAAAGAAAAATGTGTGATATATATTCAAATGTAAATTCTTCTTCAACATTTTTAGATGGCGTTTATTCCACACACATAAAAAAATAATAATAATAACAAATGGCGCCGACGTCCTGTTTTGAATTTAAGAGAATTATTTTCAATCTCTATACATATATAATCTTTAATATGAATTTGTATGGTGTAAAGAAGTCAACAATTTAGAGATTAATTGTGTAAAGGTACATGTTTTAGTTCTTCTGCTTTTCCATAGATTCAAGTTTGATTACTACTCTTTCTGTGTTGTTTATTCTAACTACTCGCTATGTACAATCATGGAGTTATTGCTTTTGTGAGCAATGGAACACAACATATTCATTTCATCATCTTATATGATTTAAAACTTGGTCGACTTGCACAAACAATTATATGCATATATTGGTGTTTATTTAGTTATAGAGAAAGAGAGAGAGAGGAGATAGGTACTGAACAATAAATGGAGAAAAATCATGTACTTCTCTTCTACAACCAATAATGCAAACCTTAACAAACAACCACTACAGAAACATCATTTATAATGTATTGAAAGGGAAAATGCAGCAACAAATCCCATACTGCCCCCTCCCCCTCCCCCTCCACCAGAGCCACTGTGTTTCAAGGGAAAGGGAAAAGGGAGAGAGGAAAAGGAGGAGAGAGATGAGGGA